TTGAAAAAGGCGAAAAGAAGAAAAGAAATATATTCAACTCTTCTTCTAAGAAAGAAGTGAAATGAAAATATTCAATTGTTCTCCAGACAAAAGTCACTCAACTATAGTCAGGAAAACTGAATCAGGGAAAACAAAAAAACAGTCAATGAAAATATTTTATATTTTTAGTCACAATAGATACTTAATAAAAGTGAGGATTACAAAACGAAGAGGTATGAAAAATACGACAGCTAGCTGTTTTTTAGCTGATGACTATTGGAAGATATTGAATGATCGTTGAGCTAACTCAATTAGAAATAAGAAAATGAAATTAACTAATCTGTGTAATTATGCTGCTTTTGAGTAGGTCTTAGGTTATTGTTTTAGTGGCAGAGTTTGTTGGATGTTTGATCGAAATGGGTTTTAGATGAAATAAAGAATTGGTTTGTGTCGTAGATGTTTTTGTCGGTATCATTCCGTTGAGTGCATGTGTTGATATGAAATTGAAATACTTACAGAGATTCTGTTTCTAGATGTTGGCAAGGTTCACACTTTTTTGATTGATGATTGAATTAAGCGAAGAATGAGGCACGTGTTCAGTAAAGAGTTAGAATACATTTCAGTTGATGTGTTTTTTTGTATGGTTGAATTGTTTTTAAGATGTTGGAATTGGTTTATTGAAAGAATTTATGCTCTGTGCATGATTCACTTGTATAATGCGAGTATTTGACCTATTGGGTTCGATAGCTATAGAAACTAATTTTTAGAATTAGTGTTCAGATAAATGGGTGTTTTTAATGTTTTTCATATAAAAAAAAATGAACAAAAAAAATACTGGTTTATGTCGGTTTTATTTTGCGTAAAGCTCTTTTAAGAAAAATACGTAAAAGATAAAGGAAAAAATTTATGTACTGAATATCGTCTACTGAAGAACTTTATTCTAACATCAATGTTTGCGCTTGTTTTGTGAATAATTAAAATTTGATTTTGCATCAGTCAGTGGAGTGGCACCATCCTGAGTATCTTGCTAGTTCTTTTTACTATTAGATGTGAAAGATTTATTGTTCTCTTTTATTACGCATTCAAGCCTTTCTTGATAACTTTCGACGAAGCGCTTTCATATTTCGATAGCTTAGCAACAACGATAATACTTCTCCATAACTGCTATTATTGTGAAGCAATGTTGAATGAAATTAGAAATTATGTGAAATCAGCAGAAGATGAAAGTGGAACTCACTCATTTCTAATAACATATTCAAATTTGAATCAAAACTATTTTCAGCAGAACTCACTCGTATTATTGACTTACTACTCAAATAATCTTGTTGAATTGATAAACGGCATCGTGTAATTCTTTTAGGTGACGATTTCGACAGAAAACAATCCAATTGTGTTCATTTGCTTAACATAAGTGGTTTACATACACTAAGTTTGTTCAACTAATCGCAAAGCTATCCGATAGATAAGGTTATCAATCTGTAACAATCACAGTCATTTTAGAGAAAATGCTAACCTTCTTTCAGAGAAATAATCACAGATAACTGCAAGCAACTAAATAGATATAATATCATTCTCTTAACGAATCTGAAAAGAAGGATTTAGGTAGAACTTTTTATCGCCGTACACTAAATATTCTTTATATAAATACTCATGAGCTTTCTGATGAGCATTTAGCGTAATTTACGACTAAAAGTGGAGAAATGAATCATTTTACTTGCTTAAGAAATTTATAGACTAATCTAGCCTTAAGCATAGAATAATCTATGGTGAAACTTAGAGCGATCTGCCCTGGAATGTAAAATAATTAATCCGTTTTCTTTGGCTGTAGATTATCTGTCCTAATAGAACAATAATAAACCGTTTTTACATAATGGTAAAATAAACTAGCTTCACACATATGATAATAAACCCTATTTTCTAATTGTAGAATAATCTACGCTTATGCATAGAATAATGAGACCTTTTCTTCTATTGTCGCAGAATAATGGACCACTATACTCCTGTAAACGTAGAATAACAAATTCTTTTTTCATCATCGTAGAATAATCTACCTCTCTGCGAGGAATAGAAGCCCTTGTGTCCACAGTGATAGAATGATCTACCTTTATATGTAAAATGATAGAACTTTCTTCAGTAATCGTAGAATAATCTACCCTTTTGTGTGGAGTAATAAACCTTTGTATCCATAATGCTAGAATGATTTACCCACAGACATAGAAAGATGAACCTTTCTTCTGTAATCGCAGAAACATCTACATTTATGCATAGTACAGTAAACCCTTCTCTTCATAACCGTAGAATAATGTATCTTTCTACGTGGAATGATAAACCAATTTGTCCACAATGGTAGAAGGATATACTCTTAGACGTAGAATGATAAACTCTTTTATGTATAACGGTAGAATGATCTAACCTCAGACGTAGAGTGATAAGCCCTTGTATGTGTAATTGTAGAAGGATCTACCATTAGACGTACAATGATGAATTCTTTTTTTCTAATTGTAGAGTAATCTACCCCTATGTGCAGCTTAATAAACCCTTCTCTTCAAAATTCTAGAATAGTCTACCCTTCTGAATGCAATAATATACCCTTGCATCTATAGTAGTAGAATGATCTATCCTTAGACGAAGAATGATCTACCGTTAGACGTAGGATGGTAAACCCTTATTCTGCAATCGCAGAACAATCTACCCTTATGCGCAGCAAAATAAATCCTTCTCTTCATGATTCTAGAAAAATGTACTATTCTGCGTGCAATAATAAACCCTTCTTTCAATAATGGTAGAATGATCTACCCTTAGGCGTAGAATGATAAACCCACTTCTTAAAACCGCCGAGTAGTCTACCCTTCTGTTGTAATCGTTGGATAATCTACCCTTGCGCGCAGAATAATAAATCCTTTTGTGAACTCCATAGCGTAATATACCCTTATGCGTAGAATAATAAACTCTTTTGTGGTCCTCGTGGAATGATCTACCCTGATGCGTGCAACAACATACAATTTTAATGAAAACGTAGAATAATATACCTTTGAGGATAGAATAATAAATCCTATTGATAAAAACTTTGACTGATATACCTTCAACTACGCATTATATACCCCTTTTATTTTCATATACCCTCATTGTTATAAACCCTTTCGTTCATAAACCCTTAAAGGGTATATGAAGTGGTTATAAACCCTTGAAGGGTTTATGGAATCGTTTTTCAAGTCAAAGAGTTGATTATTCTACGGATTTTTTTTTCAGTGTACTCAACAGCACTTCCGTACTACCAAAAAGCACTAGATATTAAACAGAAATTTTTTCCACCACATCATCCATCATTGAGCACTACCTACAATAACATTGGTGAGGCGTATCGATTGATGGGCGACTATTCAAGTGCACTCTCATACTATGAGAAGACACTTGCCATCGAACAAGAATATCTTCCACCCAATCATCCCGATTTGGCTATAACCTACAATAATTTTGGTTTGGTATATTGATCAATCGAAGACAACACAACTGCATTATCATACTACAAGAGGACACTTGAAATCCAGCAGAAAGCTCTTCCACCAAATCATCCATCGCTAGCATCAACCTACCATAACATGGCATATGTATTCGAAGATCTTCATCTATACAAAGAGGCAATGAAATACGAAACACGTGCTGTTGATATTTCCCGTCTTACGTTTGGCGTTGATCACCCTCAAGTGATAATGTCTCAAAATTATCTCGCTAAACTTTATCAAACAGCTTGATAGTGGAGTCATTTTTGAAATGAAATATGGAACTCATATGTGCTTTTTAGTCTCGTTGTGCTAATACAATATACGGAAAGTGAAAAATTTCAAATAGATGATTTCAATATTTCACTAAAGAGAGAATATCGGGAATGATTAGAAATTTTGTTTGATGAGATATGCATTAGGTTTCGTTTTCGATTATTATTTGATGGTATTCAATGTTAATCTCTAATATAAAATAGGCATATTGAATCAAGAGAATCAATCTATTGTAAACTACAGTTAATTCAGAATCATTTTCGTCCAAATTACGGAACAATCTTTTTAGACTAGAATATTGTGTCTTTTGATGAAAAGAATACAACTATTGAACAAATTTTAGATGTTTTTTGAGCGTTTTCGATCGAACTATTCAAATATTAAAAAAATTTTTCTATAAAAAAACTATCAAATTGAAGGACAACTGAAGCAACGTAAAAGCTTCGAGTTTATAATCAACATTTTTGCAGAATATGGATATGAAATATGTCAGTTATTTGTCTGTTTTTTTTAATGCTAACCTACAATATTTTGATACAACAATAATTAGCGCAGAAAAACTTTATAAGCCGTGCATGTTTCACGAAATTTGAAACGTGATTACTGTAATGGTAAAAAAATTCTGTTGGATTCATCCTTATTTTATAACGTCTCAAATGGGTACAAACAAATCTATCTCTTGTCGTCATATTCGACACGTTCTGAATCCTTAGTTACATGAAATACATGTAAAACGTTTTTCTTCACTCATTGTTTAAGAAACATGTTACAGACTGACACACCCAGACATTTTTTGTTTTAATTTATCCTTCTAGACTGTAGACTTTTCCGTTTAGGAACTAACGTCGTAGTTGAAAATAATATAATACCATGGCAACATATCTGTCACTGTCTGTGGGAGAGAGGAAGTCTCAATGAGCACGCCTACAAGACGCGAATATATTGAACGAATAATATAATTCATCAACAAATTTTGAAAAATTCCTTACTTCTTCTTGTAAACTAATATAAAGATTTGGCTATCCGTATACTAAGATGTCATTGACTTTTCTAGTTTTTCATTCTGACAAAAAGTTGCTTGCACAACTACAAGAAACTCGAAAATTTTCATTTTTGAAGCATATATTTTTTCATGACATGTTACAGTGCTAGAAGATCCACCAAATTGCTTGTATTCTTTTATTTTTTATCCTTGGTTAAAATAAAAATCAAGTGAACAATGTGTATTTACTCAGAATGTCTTTTTTAATAAACAATGGATCCCAAATAGGTATCATACGTTCTTCGGCAATTATTTGGTAAAGGAACTGGTATACGTTGTGTGAATGTTTTTCTAAATGTTTGCAGTAATTTTCTGGCCTGTTTCACTTCAACTACAGCTGTTATTGGATCAGCTGGAGTGGCGAATTGGTTGAACTTAAACTGTTGAAAACAGACGAAATAGGTACCACGAGCAGGTTCTGTGGTATTCCAATAAACATTTTCCGGACCTGTCCCTCTTCTGTCATCGATATCTAATTGACCATAATTAGTTTCGATACTGGGTTTTCCTGCAGGGTACATTATTGTTTTTCCATTAGGGATCGTGACAACAATATCTCCATCACCTGGTCTATTCCATGTCAGTGTAAACGATAATACTCCCCGTCCGACACATACACCAGATACACATTCTTGATATGGGCTACACGGTGGAGAACATATTTTAGCTAAAAAAACAAGAAAGGAAGACATGGAAAGTGCTCTTTCATACAATCGAATTATATTCGTCGTGTCTTGTATTTGAATGTCACATCTATTTGCAGAAAGATTTTTTTTAGTAGAATGAACTAATAATAATTCTTACGAGGGAACATATCCAACTGTCGGATGCCGTTCGAGTCCATATTTTGGCTACGAGTAGGACTCGGTGAGACTAAGAAAACTCTGAAAGGGTTCGTGCCCATGGCGTATTCCTGGTGAGATATCAATTTTTTAGTGAATTTTCTCTATAGCACCCCACTTTTGCAGCAAAGCTATACTTTCGAATTTTGACTTGAAACTTTGCCCACATAAAGGCCTCAGCTAGACCAGCTTGCATGAAAAATTTCAGAAGTTTTGAGCAAGGTCTCTCCGAGATATAGAACTATCAAGACACAGACCCTTTTTCATAGATAGTATATATAGCATGCATTTTTTGAAAACTCGGTATCTCGAAAAGACTTTGTTCAAAACTTTTGAAATTTTTTATACAAGCTGGTCTAGCTGAGGCCTTTATGTGGGCAAAGTTTCAGGTCAAAATTCGAAAGTATAGCTTTGCTGCAAAAGTGGGGTGCTATAGAGAAAATTCACTAAAAACTTGATATCTCACCAGGAATACGCCATGGGCACGAACCCTTTCAGAGTTTTCTTAGTCTCACCGAGTCCTACTCGTAGCCAAAATATGGACTCGAACGGCATCCGACAGTTGGATAGGTTCCCTCGTTAGTGTGCAGAACTAAAAACTTGGAAAAACATGCATGGTTTTCTGTGTTTCGTAATCAGAAGTTTAATAAGAATGATACATCATCTTTCTTGCATGTTTGAATTCTATGGATCGCTTTGTTGTGGAAGCTAAATGAATATGATGCAATGTACTTGAAATGAAAACAACATATGTTCCACAATATCCGAGTAGCACAGCTACAAATAGACTTTAGCCCGATTTTAAAATGTGACGCCTTCTATAGGTATCCTTGAAAATTC